TATATATATATATTATCTCCTTCTGAATCTCAAATTACAAGAAGGCACCTAATTCACTAAGCACTGGCAGTAAAACCTTTTCTGCAGAAATAGCAACTCTATAGTTTACAGGTTTTTTAACTCACAGTTACTCATTTCTGGTAGGAAAGGGAGCAGTCTGGTATGCAAATGATATAGAATTGAGTAGGACAACCAGAAGAGAGGAACTTCAATGAAATCCAAAATAACATTGATAGATTGGAGACAATGGGCTGAAAGTACAAAATTAAATTTAACAAATGCTAAGTTTTTCACCTAGGAAATTAAATAAAATATACAACTATAAGATGAGCAATTTCTGGTTTGGTAATGGTATTTGTGAAAAAGATTGCGGGACAGTAGTTAATTGAATGTGAGCTGGCATGTAATATGGCTGCAAAAAAGCAAATGCAAATGTAGATTACATCAACAGAAAGTATAATTTCCAAATCATGGGAAGCAATCATTCCATTCTATTCTGAACTTGCCAGATGCCCTTCAAGTGCTGTTTCCTATTCTGTGCACCACATTCTTCAAATGTCTGAAAGGAAACCACTTGGGTGAAGGTCAAGACCTGTCTTTTCTCATTCCAGAATGCAGGATGTGAAATGCATTATTTAAGTTACAGGAAGTCAGATTCCAGTTGAATGTTAGGGGGGGAAAAAACTTCCTAGCAGTTAAAGCAGCTCAAAAGTGGAACTAATTATTGAGAGAAGTGGTGGGCTCTCCTTCACTGGAAGCTCAAGCAGAGGCTCTACAATTTTGATTTGGATTCGAGGGTTGGACTTGAAAACCTAAATGCTCCTTCCAGTTCTATGGTTCTATACCAGTGTTTCAACCTTAGGAACTTTAACAGATGTGGACTTCATCTCCCAGAATTCCCCAGCCAGCATGACTGGCTGGGGAATTTTGGGAGATGAAGTTCACATCTCTTAAGGTTGCTGAGGTTGAGAAACACTGTCCTATACAATTATCCATCTACATTCTAAAACAGTCTAGCCCAAAGAAGGCTCTACCACCTTGGTCGTAGCTTTGTTTTCAGAGTACAGACCTTTCCTTAATGTAAAGTAATGGGCACTGATGTTGTGATTATCACTTTCTGTTCACCATTATCACACCTTTGGGACTGGGCTTCATGACTGCAATCAAGTGCAGCTAGCTAGGTAACTTGTGGACCCACTGATACTGCCAAATTATAACTCCCAGCCAACATGGCTAATCATTAAGTTTGCAAGACACTGTGGTTCAGGCACACGTGGAAGGTCCCCAATTCCCCATCCCTGTGAGAAGAGAAAATTGCAGTAGTAAGTGCAACAAAAAGTATGAATAAGACCACATTCCTTTTCCACCACATAATATATCTTTTCAGGAATCCCTTGTGGACTTTACACTTACAAATGTGCTGATGGGAGCTGTGTGAAGAAGCCCAACCCTCAATGCGACTCAATCCCTGACTGCAAGGATCAATCGGATGAAATGAACTGTGGTGAGAAACTCAGAGGAAGGGACTATCCTAGTCAGAGGAATATCTAAAACCAACTCAGTTTCTTCTGCTTAGAATAATCCTAGTACAGAATCTGCACATGTTCATTCTCTCAGGGGTTGATGGTATTAAGCTTTAGTCCTATGCACTAGTCTTTTCCAAGCTTCTGCTGGGACTACAATTCTCAGAATCCCCAGCCAGCATGATCATGCATCACAAGTTAACTGGAGGGCATTAGTATCCTTTCTGGATTGTGTTGTTAGAAATCCATAATTCTGGGTGGGTCTGAAGTCTATAGTAGATTAACTGCAATTAATTATCCAGTTTGGAGGGATTCATTTAATATCAAACAGCTATCTTGCAGAATATCAAAATGTTCCTTCTGAGAGAAATAATGTAAATGTAGGAAAGTTTCAGTGAATGGATATTGTCACATATACATCAAATCATCCTTGTCAAAAGAACAGTAATATCCAAGGTACATATTTTCCTTTTCATTGGAATCAAAACATGTCCATTACCCTTACTATTCTAATAATTATTTCCCCAAGTGGATGAATCCATTTTTCTACTTGCATCTATCTATCTATCTATCTGTCTGTCTGTCTGTCTGTCTGTCTGTCTGTCTGTCTATCTATCTATCTATCTATCTAATTTTATAGCTGCCAATCTCACAAAAAGTGACTCTGGGTGGTGTACCAGGCTCCAAAGGTTGAGTGTGATTGTTTTGGTGAGAAACATAAAGTGGTGAATAATGATGATATACACCAGTGTTTCTCAACCTTGGCAACTGGAAGATGTGTGGACTTCAACTCCCAGAATTCCCC